TAGTGTGACAGTTCAATAATGATGTGTGAGACCGGAAGTGTGGTGTGTGCAGTGCAGGTAGGAAGGGAAAGGCTGCAGTGATGGATTAGGCTGAATAAGAGAGTGATCATGCGGGAGAGTAATTACTCCAACAAGTACATGATAATTTTTTGGGAAAACTAAGCGTAGTGTGAATGATTGGGTTTCCGGCTACTTAATCTAACTTGTTATTGTAATATTTGATCGGCGAAAGCTAGCGCAAAGATCGAAAGAGTAAAATGTGTGGATCTACATCCAACGAACCATGGTAATGCCTCGTCTTCTACTCGTTGTTTTGTTTCGAATTTAATTTGTGATGTGAGGAATACTTTATTATTGGGAATATCTGTAAATATTTTTGTTATACAAGGTTACAGTTGGTGTCATTTAATTAATTACTTGAAGCAACCTTGATAATGCAGGATTCTGGGGAGTTTATACTCTGGAACTCGTCCGTATCCGGAACTACCAATCCCAGGTGTGCTATTCTTTATGCATATTGTCGAAACGAGTTTTTTTCTAACCGAGAAATGTAATGGTGGATAGTGTATGTTGGCACTTAAGTCAGACACGGGTGTTTGTTGAATGATCTATAAACAAGCCACCTTTTGCCTGGTGCCTATTTATAATGGTGGATAATGTATGGAATAACGTATGATGTAGTGATTCATTACATGGAGAAAATATTGAACGAATTATTAACAATGCTCTTTGTTAGTGATTTTTTGTCTTGAAGCACGTCTACAAATATTATAGTATTTTATTTATACTTCAAAATAGATAGAAACTGGGACTTGTCTGAAATTTACATACTGGTAAGTAATTTGATGAGTAAAATGTGTGTTTCTTTAATCTAAATCACACCCTTTTGAAATTTCCAAAGTATGACCACTAATTAATCTTATGTAACAGATCTTGAAGTCTGTGTTTGGAAGAGATTTAGACTAAATTATGTGCTTCGAATACTTTTTATGCCTTTATAAGTTTTTCAGTCGAGCTGTCAGACTATAGTTTGATAAAATTTGAATACCTGTAGATATTAAGATCACCATTTGGCATTCGCCTTTGTTTTTAACATTTCACACATGCAATCTTGATTTTGCAGTTTATAGTGTATTGCATTTTGATTTGTATTCTTGTTTTACTATCATTCATCTTGGTCTTTATTGTTTATAATTTCATAGCTCGCAACACACTCCGTGAATCTTCATAGATTGTTAATTAGGGATGTTAGTTTCTGACTCTCCACCAAACTACTGCTTTTAACATAATTTTATTTATTCTATTTTAGACCATGGCAAAATCTTTTGAGGTTACCGAGTTACCAGGTACATGAGTTATGAACCTTTTTTGGTACATTTGTATGTATATGAGACTCGTGATACTTTTTCTTGAATACACTCTTTTTTCTTTTTATATTTCACTAGAGCCCTTATACAATATGATTTTGCAGTTAGATCGGCCAAGTTTATTGCACGCCGACAGTGGGTTGTTGCTGGAGCAGATGATATGTTTATTCGGGTATATAATTACAACACAATGGATAAGGTTAAAGTATTTGAAGCACATACTTATTATTATGGTATTATTAAAGAGATATTAGAATTGTCTTACCTTGATATCAAAACAAAGTAATTATTTTACATTGTCATTGGTTTGATCCTTTTCATGGTGTTAAAGTTGATGACATATATGGCTTGGTTGATATCAAGCATAAATCAAAGCTTCAATCAAATGAGCCATCAACTGAGGTTGGCCAATCAACAACCACCATCCCACCAATTGATGTTGACCAATCAAATGTTGTTCCTAGCTATACATTTATACATTTAATACATTGATTATATAATTGTTAATCAATATTGATTACTAGTTATAAATTGAATATTAGGTTTGATGTTGGTATATTGATGTCTGAATCTTGAATTGTAAATTATTTCACAGGAAGAAGAGCACAAACATCCTATTTCTTATGGTGAATTATATAGCAAAGTTCATAAAAAGAAAGATGGTGAATATGTGTCTAACAAATCAAAAAATTTCATTGTAAGTGTGTATATTTTATAAATATTAAATTTTGTTTATTTATAATATTGCTAAAATATTGATTTGATGTAGGAATCATATGAAAATGCTATGATTGAAAAATATGGGGAAGATACATCAAATCATCCTATAGTTGATTCTAATCTTTGGATAAAGATGCTCGGTGAAAATAAAAAAGGTTGAATTTATGGTATAGGTCGAGTTTGGATCTTGATATTTCACATGTTTCATTTTCATCAGTTGAAGGTCCCTCTTCCCAAAATCGTATCACACCTCTCATCGAAGAAATCACTACCTTAGCTACACAAATATCTAGTTTGCAAAAGCGAGATGAAAACGCGATGCTGAGACACAAACCGATATGCAAGCATTGATGCAAGCATAAATGAAGATATAAGCAAAAATGCAAACACTCATATAACAACAAATGCAAGAAGAAATGCAGCTCTTTCAAGAAAGATTTATTATCCGCCTTAAAGAAACAATGATGAAAATGTACTTTAAACTTTGTTTCTATTTTTAATTGTGTTATACATAACTTTTTAGTTGAAATATTATTTTTGTTATGTTTTAATTGTTTGAAACATCATTTTAACTATGTTTAAACAATACTTTTATATTGAAAGTTGATAAGTTTGTCTTCTTTTTTAAGAATATGAGTAATAATTTAAATCTTAAATATTTGATATTATAAATTTTGATAAAAATTGTGAGGGATTAGCTATGAAATAGCGAGAGAAACATTGCAAAGAATTAGTTACAGATTAGGGAGGAAATAATTGCGAGACATTAACCACATATTAGCTAGAGATAAATTGTCAGGGATTAGTTATGGATTAGAGAGAGAAAAATCGCGAAGGATTAGCTACGGATTAGCGAGAGAAAAATTGCGAGGGATTAGCTACGAATTAATGAGAGTAAAATTGTGAGGGATTAACTACGGATTAGCGAGAGCAAAATTGCGAGAGATTAGCTACAAATTAGCGAGAGTGAAATTGTGAGGGATTAGCTACGGATTAGCGAGAGCGAAATTGCGAGGGATTAGCTACGGATTAACGAGAGCAAAATTGTGAGAGATTAGCTACGGATTAGCTACAAGTTTTGGGAGATCAAATTAGCTAGGGATAAACAAAATTTCATTATTTAAATTAGCGAGGGATTTAGCGACAGTTTAGCGACAAAATTTGCTACAAATTTGAGAGAGAATACATCTGTATCTAATTAGCTACTTGGATTTAGCTACGGACTATTCCGTAGCTATTCCGCAGCTAATCTGTAGCAAAACATAACAGCGAGAGATTAGCTATAAAATAGCTACGGAATGTGTCATAGCTAATATGTAAAATTCTTGTAGTGATTATTTGATTACTAAGAAATGCTAATCAAATTGATTCACAATATCATTCCTTCAACATCCTATAACTAATGGGTCAACACATAACAACTAATTTGAAACAAATTTTTACTAAATAACAATATAATTAAGAAAATTAGCTACACACAACAAATTTTATAATTTAGTGATGGAAACTCAAAATTATTTACCAATTCACATTAAATTGTATGTTTCTTGTTCTTCAAAAATTAACCAAAGCTCTAATTATCAAAAAAATAAGGTTTAACATAACAATGGAAGCATTTCTAGAATTAAAAGCAATTTATTTTATAGTTTGAGTTTTACTAAAATTTAATTATTAATATCTCATCATCTATCACTTTATACAAGTTTGATTTCTTAAAAAAGTACAAAAATTTATGAAAAAAATTAAGAAAATAATAAATAAATAATCATTTCATCATTTATCACTAAATACAAATTTAATTACTTAAATAAAGTAACATGAAAAAAAGTAAAGATAAAGTTAATAAGATGAACAATAGAAAAGAAGTATTTGTGAATTGAGAATATATATTAAAATTAATTTATTAAAATAAAAATAAAATAAATTATAATTTCATATAATATATATTTTATGTTAAGTCATTAAAATTGAAAATATAATATAATATTATAATTTAAATTATAAATAATAATAAATTAAATTAAAAATTATTTATTTTAATGAAATATTTTAATAATTAAATATCTTAATTTTTTATATTTATTTAATAAAATATATTAATTAATGAATAAATGTTTACAAAATATTTATATAAGTTATAACGGGTGAATCCTATTAACTATTTTTTACATGAGCTAAAATTTGACGGATTAACATTTTTTTTAAATCTCAAAATTACATAAACTTTTCTCATCAAGATGATGTAAGAAAATGATTAAACTTATTTTAATTTTAAAATTAAAAGAAAATTATAAACAAAAGTATGATAATCATTCCGTCAAAACTAACAGTTCCCTCTGTTTGATTTTTATCTTATTAAATATATATTAATTCAAAACTTTCACTTATTTATTTTATCTTATTTCACTCAAAAAATTTCATTCTAGATTATTTAATTATTTATTTTATAAGCACCATAACCAACTGTCCCTTTTTTATGGCAACAAACTATCACATCTACAATCAATTCGGTTTATTCTCTTGTCTAAACACGGGACCACGTTATCTCACTATTCCATCTCCAAAACATGCTTTGTGTTTGTCTCCATAAGAATTCATTCTCCACGAGTTACAACTTGGTTTATGACACTGTGTTGTTAGAATCAAACGTGATTTTTATTTATTTTTTATTTCAATTAGACAAATCAAAGTGTTTCGTTACACTCTGTCTGCTTCACTGCTCCTTTAAAATAATCTCCATTCGCCGCATAGAATAAACAACGTTAATTTGCCGCATATAAAATCGTTGTATTTATGCACAATAATATATCCCACCAACCCATAATTTTCATTCCATTTAAACTATTATTTCTTTTCAACAAAATCGATCAGGCAACCTCTAAAATAAAATATTTAATAAAAAAAAAGCATCAATCATCTCGTACGGACTACCACACCGCCGTGTCTGGCCTCCAAAACGGCGTCGTCGAACCCGACCAATCTACATTTGGCACCACTTATCGCAGAGACGACAGTGGGAACCGGGCTGGCGGTTCTACGATACGGACTGAACCACTTGTTCTGCATGTACCGGTTTTTTCTCCACGGAGGCACAGTTAACCCTCTTTTCCTAAAACAACGCTTCGAAACACGGCACAAGATCCCAACGGTGCGTTTCAACTCCTCTGCGGTTCCAACGAATATTCGCGGCACGTAGCTCAGAAACTCTAGATACTCACTCGTGGGCCGTGCGATCTCGAACTGGCCTACGAAATCAAGGTCCACGAAGTACCTCTTGTGCCACGTGGACGGTCCTGGTCGCAGCACGTCGATAAACTCGTAGTTACCCGCGGTGGTTCCACCGGAAGAGTCCCACCGCGTTTTGCAAATCGCGGCATTGTGCCCTTTCTCGCGCAAAAACGACATCGCGTTTCGGATATACATCTCAATGTTTTGTTCCTTCAAAAACTCGAACTTCTCCGCGGCCTCCGAAGCGTGCGCGAGAAGCAAGCTTTTGTAAGAGTCCGAAGCGTTGGCTTCGCTTAGCATAAGAAGTTCCTCCACCGAGTCGATGCAATCAGATGCAGAGTCGACTCGCTCCGAGTCAAAATCGTTTCCCGCTGAGTTATTATCCGAGTTGCCATTTTCCTCCAGGAAATCATGCACGAGCTCGGAAAGGCATGGCGAATCGCCGTCACCGGAATGTTCGCTCCCGCTGCTGATGTAGCTTAGTTGCCGGAGGTCGCCACCGACGAGACGTGCCTTGGCTTCATCATCGAACGGGTCAGTAACTCGTTTCTTTCTTGCTAAAACAACCATTGGTTCGTGTTTTCTAGAATGTTTTGGATCAATTAACTTTGCTAGATTGGGTGATGGATTGGGTTTGAGTGTGGTTTGTGTTATAAAGACGAACTAATCGCTGGAATTTTCTGGAGAATATTCGTGGGAAACAGTTTCGGATTTAAAATGATCGCTGTGATTTTGGTTGAATGTTTTGTGTGATTTGACTCATCCGAGTGTTTGACGAAGTTAAAATGGGGATATGCGGGTAGGATCCGAATTAGGGGAAGTGATAGTTGTGAGATGCTTGGCATATCCACTTTTATTCGGGTCAAGTCTTGGACCCGTGACGTGTGAGAGTGTGATTCCACCATGTGTGCGTGAGGGATAGGTAGCCTTGCATTAGCGTGGCACGTGCTGGGTCGATTGAGACAGCAGTTGGATAAGGTAGTAATGGGGAAAGAAGGTGGGGTCGTTTGAGGGGATAGGGGTTGCCGTTTAGTGAACTGGAAGGTCATGAGACCGTTTGGATTTATGTTTTATCATTAATTATTAATATTCAGACAAAATTAAAATAGATTATTTATATATATATATATATATTTACATATATAATCATATAATTATTTTTTAAAATAACATTATACTACGTATATCTATTGATAAAGTTATTTTTTATATAACTGTTACATTTAATTAATATATTTTTAATTATTAATATAAGATTATTTTAATTATTGATAATTTTTTTCATAAAATCTTTTCGATAAAACGCGGAAGAGAGAAACTCAAAGAAAAGGTAAAGAGAAAAATGGGTCTGTACCAAAAGTTGACATCTGAGGATAAACATTATATTATTATTACGAATATTTATTTATTTTTAGAAAATTGGTTAATTTAATAGAGTTCTAATTTAAAAAAATAAAATTCATTAATTTTTTAAAAGACAGTTTAAAATATTTATTATCCATGATATAAATGATGAAGTGTTACATACAAAAGTGATTTTTTACTATTTAAGAATCTTCTAGTTCATTATGCATCGGCCACTCACAGTTTGTCAATTTCATTTTTTTTGTTATTTTTTATTACGTGTATGAATTATATAAAATTCAACTATTATAACTTCAACTTTTTAATAAGATGTTGTTAGAATTAATTTATACAAATAAATAAAATTCCTGATTAAAAATGGGAAATTCTTAGTTGCATATATTTTCGTAATTAAAATCGTCAAAAGAAAAATAGTTACTGTTTGCAAATAAAAAAAATATAAAATGGTGTGACAAAGCATTTTACATCTTGAATGGAATATACCAAACTTTCAAATAATGAGGAGACCGCACCGTACATTTGACAACAACCCACAAGACGAGGTATACCTTGTAAATATCGGATAACGTGCTTGAGAGCTTACGTATGGTCCACCCTCAGATTATGCATATATAAGCACACCAATTACACCGCATAAGAGATATCCGACTTGGTGAAAGTGAGATATTGTAGACCCCAACAAGACTCATGTAAAGAGTGGGATAGTGCGCTAGAAGTAGTACCCACCTTAGCATTGGTATCAACCGGTGTTGGAGACGACTTGCAAGAAGATATACCGACTCGGTCAATAATTGCTTCGGCATATTTGCGCTGTAAAAGGAACATACCACTCTTATACCGAGTCACTGCAATGCCAAGAAAATAGTTCAAAAGAGCAAGATCCTTCGTAGCAAATTTCGGGCCCAAAAGGTTCATAATATAGAATCGGAGAGCATGAGAAGAGGCATACAGCAAAATGTAAGCTATGTGCGAACCCTTTTGATAAATAAATAATGAGTGGTTACATATGCTATTTGAGAAACTAAGAGACACGACATAATCAACAAACTGCTTATACCAAGCACGAGGTGCTTGTTTAAGCCCATATAATGACTTACGCAAATGACACACATAATCTGGATGAGTACGATCACAATACCCTAATGGTTGATGCATATAAAGTGTTTCTTGTAGCTCATCATGAAGAAAATCATTTTTGACATCCAACTGATGTATGAGTCATGCCTTTGAAGGAGAAATAGAAAGAATGATGTAATTGGTCTGAATGTGAGGAATTGAAGTCATCAACAGATTAGGAGGCAACAACCATTGCCGACTCCGATCCCGTGGCAGCCTCCTTCGCCAATCCGGCTTCCTCAAGTGTGAGCATCGATCGAGCCTGATAAAATGGAGGTAGGGATCACTCTACCGAATTAATGTCCCTACACCATGATATGCACTTGTGAGACACGAAACAAGTTGAATGATGAGGCGGCTCTGTGATACTGGTGCTCCAACATTTTTCAACCGATCAGCAAGGGACTTGAGACGTTGACAATATGCCGAAGCATTCGGAAAATTCTCCATCTTAGTAGTGGAGAATTCGGCCTCAAGAATTACCACACATGAATGTTTGTTGTCTTAGAAAATATCTCTCAACCTATTCCAAGCATCCATGGTCGTGACATTGGGTTCAATAATTGTATGCAACAAGTCATTAGAGATGGTTGCATAAAGTCAGGAAAGAACCTTAGCATCAAAAGTCGACCATAATTCTTTTTCATCCTCAGTCACACGTACCTTCTCTTTGCCATTTGCAGGAGGAATAATGTGATGAAAGACCTGACAAGAACATACAGTAATTTTAAAAAGTTTTACCCATGTAGAGTATTGGACATTCTTCATTTCAAGAGTGATGAAAATATGGTTCCGTATATTGGAAATCGCAAGAGCAGGATGAAAAGAACTTTTGTTGTCCGTCATGACGGTGAGAAGAATAAAAAAAAAAAGATAGATGAAAGGGAACGAAGAAGAAAAAACGTAATTGCCCTAAAAATCTGGTACCATAAAATAATATTTTCCTCCATTGATCTTATTCAATGACTTGGAATAAATACAATATATAAGTCGTAATCTTAAGAAACTAATTAGGTAACTAATAATATCATGCATATAGGAAACTAATTATAAACTAAATATATGTTTACCTAAAATACAATAACAAAATATATTTACATATATCTTAATAAAAAATATGAAAGTTATTATGAAATAAACATTCAATCAAGAACTAGAAGATCAGCTACTTGGTTTTTCTCTGGAAAAGCATGCACCGAAATAATTTATACCACACTATTGTGAATGATATTTTTAACCAGATTGCAACAAGAATGACTACAGCTACACGTTATTTTTCCAATATCGATTTTTCTAAAATCCTTTGTCTATTAAGTCCAAGGCAATTTTTCTAAATCCCACATCTTAGGTTAAAATATTGCACAAGTGAGCTTGGAAGCAAAGCCATGGATATATACTCTATGCATAATGCATACATTACTTGACCCTTACACCATGTTTATGTTTGACAATAGGGTAACAAACATTTTACTAATGTATTAGGAATTAATCCTAAAAAAGAAAATCACATCACATTTAATTTAAAACTTTAAGATAATTGATTTGTAAGTTTTTTTTTTTAAGGTTTTAACTTAACCAATTTTTATATAATATAGGATTAATTAACTTACACGATAAGTTTTTTTTTTTTTTTTCCCCAAAAACTACATTTACTCTACATGGTGTGTTGATGAACTCGTCAAAATCATGGAATGCCATGCTTCTAGAGGTCAAGTGGTTTTGCCCGTATTTTACTTCATTAGCCATTGGTCTCTACGTGACCTGAGGGATGTTTCTTTCGAAGTCATTTTTCAACAAGCTGGTGACATCAGCAGGGAGAGACAATGGCAGTTTGCACTGAGTAATGCAGCGCGTTTAGCAGGCTGGGATGTTTTAAATTACATGTATGCATATGCTTTTTGGTTCATTTTTAATTATCAGAGTGTTGTTTATTCATCTATTATTCTCTCTCTCAAGTTAAAATAAAAAAAATCTAATACTACTTTAGCACATAACTTTACGACTTCTATGATGTACTTGTAAAAAGGTTTAGCTAAACGGTTTCTGCTATGAACACTATGGCAGAAAGACATAGGAGTCCAATAGTGTCTGAGGTTTATGCAACTGAGATTTTATTTTGAGATCTCTTATAATTTGTACCCCTTGTCGGGTTGTTTTTTGGTGCACAAATGAAACCACTGTTGTGAAGGAAATTGTTAGTGAGGTTATGGAAATACTAGATAGAATATACATGTCTGTTACAGATTTTCCTGTTGGATTGGAATCTCGTGTGCAACATTGTATTGGCTTCCTACGAAAGCAAACAAGAGAAGCTTATATGTTAGGGAGATGGGAGGGATTGGTAAAACAACCATAGCCAAAGCCATCTACAATGAACTTCGACATGAATTTAAATGTAAAAGTTTCCTTGCAAATATTAGAGAAAGATAAAGGTTTATAGCATTGATTGGGGAAAAGCTATGATCAAGGAAAGGCTTTGCACAAAAAGGAGTACTTATTGTACTCGATGATGTGAATACATTTCAACAATTAAATGCACTATGTGGAAATCGTGATGGGATTGTTCAAGGAAGTGTAATAATCATTACAACCAGAGATGTCCGTCTACTCGATGTTTTTGAAGTTGACCATGTGTATGAAGTGGAAGAAATGAATAAGATTGAGTCCCTTGAGCTTTTCAGTTGGCATACTTTTAAGCAAGCAAAACCACCAGAACCTTTCCTTAAACTCTCAAAACAAGTAGTCACTTACTGTGGAGCACTACCTCTAGCTCTTGAAGTTCTTGGATCTTATCTATACAAGAGAGATATAAAAGAGTGGCGGAGTGTATTATCAAAACTAAAAGAGATACCAAATGATAAAATACAAGAGAAATTGAAACTAAGCTATGATGGTTTAACCGATCATATGGAGAAGGGCATATTCCTTGACACATGCTTCTTCTTTATCAGGAAGGACAGAGACTATGTCACAGAGATACTAAATGATTGTGAACTTCATGCTGATATTGGAATAACAGTCCTGCTAGAAAGGAGCCTCATCAAAGTTGAAAAGTATAACAAACTTGGAATTCATGATTTGCTACGAGACATAGGTAGAAAAATAGTTCATCAAATTTCACCTCTAGAACCACAGAAGCGCAGTCGATTGTGGGTTCATGATGATATAGTTGATAAATTGACAGAACAAACTGTAAGAACTTCCTCTTCTTACTATTTTTGAACTATCAATCATCATCAATGATATTATATGAACCATGATAAAACTTTTTATTTATATTTATAAGTTTCTAAGTTTCGGTTTAAAATCCTGATGAGATTTATATTTAGCTTCTGAAAGTATTTCTCTTGTAATGTACACTAGATGTTTACTTATGTCCCAGATTATCTGTATCACTTATTAACTTTCTCCTGTTAAAACAGCTAAGCTTCTCCTTGTTCACAATTTTTTTTTTTTTCTGAATTTTCATAGGCAACAGGAGTCATTGAGGGATTGGCTTTGAAGATGCAAAGAACCAGCAGAGTTTGTTTCAGTACTGAAGCGTTTGAGAAAATGAAGAAACTGAGACTTTTGCAACTTGATCATGTGTACAAACTTGCTGGAGATTATGGGAATCTTCCCAAACAACTGAGATGGGTTTATTGGAAAGCATTTTATTGACATACATACCTGACAACTTTTATCAGGAGAATGTGGTTTCTATTGACTTTAAATACAGTTATCTTAAACTAGTATGGAAGGAGCCACAGGTAACCTGATATTTTCTATGATGACGTTATTAATTTGGACAAAACTCACATACTGTATTGTAGGTACCATTAGTGTTGTTCTGCATTCAAATTTGTAGTTTAACTTTGATAATTTGCCTTTCATTCAAGTGAAACTCCAAATTTGATTGGAGAACAAGACTAAATGAAAGTTTTGTCGCTATATACTTTGCTAATCATTCTTTCTTTCTTTTTTTCGTTTTAAATTTTCGTGCAGTTGCTGGAGAGGCTAAAATTCCTTAATCTTAGTTCCAAGCACTTATCAAAGACCCCAGATTTTTCAAAACTACCAAATCTTGAGAAGCTCATTCTCAAAGATTGTCCAAGCTTGTATGAAGTACACCATTCAATTTGGAGATCTAAGTGACCTTCTTCTATTAAATTTGAAGGATTGCACATGCCTTGGCAATCTTCCAATAATAATCTATAAGTTAAAGTAATTACAAACCCTCATCCTTTCTGGTCGTTCAAAGATTGACAAGCTAGAAGAAGACATAGTGCAGATGGAATCCTTGACATCACTAATTGCAGACAATAGTGGTCTAAAACAAGTGCCCTTTTCCATAGTAAGATAAAAAAGGATTGGATATGTATCCCTTCGTGGATATGAAGGATTGGCACGTGATGTATTTCCTACTCTCATATGGTCATGGATGTCACATACAGGAGGTTTTTCATCCTGTATTCAACCATTTGGGATCATTCCAACATCTATTGTCTCCATGGATATACTGGATAGTAATTTAATTAATCCATTATCAAATCTCAGGAATTTTCAAAACTTCTAAGTATTTGTGTGCAATGTGACTCAGATTTTCAAATAACACAAGAACTAAGGATGATTCGGGATGAGTTATGCAATGTAAATTTTTCTGAATCGAAAAACGCATATTTATCACAAATTTCAGAAATGTCTATAGTATCACATTTGACTGGAATGGGAAGCTGCCACCAAGTCTTCGATATGCTTAGCAATAGCATATCAGAGGTTCTTTCTCTCTTTTTCTGAGTTTCTACTTTACATTTACTAATCCATTTTTCAGAGAATGGAATAATTTTTTCCTGTAAAAAATATGTTTTTTACTCATCAAATATAGGAATTGGAATCGCTTGGGCTTAGGTGAATTTTCCTCTTGCTGTCAGCAGTACTGTTATTTCTTTTCTTATATCATAAACTAAATTGAATACAAGTTCCTTTTTTACTAGGAGTTAGGATCATATCTTTCCCCATTTTGGGAGTCCTTGGTTACAATATTAAAATTCAGGTATTGTATTAAACAAATTTATAGTTAGAGACTATCAAAACTATTTTTTAAAGCTTGGTCATAAAGAGCATGCGTAAGGTGAAAATAAGTGCAAAAAGTGTGTAATAGTGTGAGAATTAACTTTGGAAATTTCTCTTATTTTTCTTGTTTACATGTGGTTTTTCTAGCTATTGACTGAATTCATTTCAATCAATTTCCTTGTTTTTTTTTTTTTTTTATGAAGTATACTAGAGCATATTACATAAATAACTAAGCTTTACTGCATGGTACAGGCCTTGAGAACCAATGGTTGCACTGATTTTGTCCTTCCAGGGGACAATTATCCTTATTGGTTAGCCTATACAGGGAACGGTTATTCGGTACCTTTTCAAGTTCCTGAAGATAGTGATTGTCGCATGAAGGGAATGATGTTGTGTGCTTTATTCATCAACCCCTGAAAAGATGGCAACTCAAAGTCTTACTAGTGTCTTCATCTTTAATTACACAACGTGCATCATTCAGATATATAAGCAAGCAACAACAATGACCTTCACTGATGAAGATTGGCAGGGTGTAATATCAAATCTAGGACCTGGTGACAATGTGGAGGTTTTTGTAGGTATTGACCATGGAATCACTGTTAAGAAAACAGCAGTGTATCTTATATATGGTCAGTCAATTACAATGAGAATAGAGCCACGTGAGCTGAGTGTGACTGTCACCTGAATTGAGTCCGCAACCCTCCACTTATGTGGAAATGGAGCCATTAAAGAAGCCGAAGAAAAATATATTTACAAAAATTGTAAACGAAGTGAGAGTATGTTTATGCTTGAAATAGATTAAGGATTTCTAAAAGACTTTTGGACATTCCATTGATATCATTTTCAGGTAGCTAAGAAAGTAAAAGCAACTTGCTTATGTGATTTTTACCTTTGCAGTTGGGTATTGATGATTTATTCAGTGTAATGTAGTAACTTCTTGTAATGAATGTTTTCTTCTTTACATCCTGCAGATATTTAAATTCCATTACACAGAGAATCAGTTGGTTGTGTAATTCAATTGGTTAGGACCTAGCTTACATTATAACTAAGAGCAACTCAATTGGATGAATCATCATAGCTCAAGTTCAGTCACCAACTCCATCATTATAAAATATTGACAAACTAGAAATTACATATACTCCATCAATTTATCCAGTTCACACAGTCAAACTTAAAAATGAAAATAGAAAATTAGAAACTAGAATAGGAAACCTTCAAACAAATAACAAGTAGAAAAATAACAACCTTCAAAAGAAAAAAAAAATTCTCAAAAATAACGACTAGAAACAAAATACCATAAACAAATCAAGGGTAGCCCAAAAAGACATAATGAGAGGAGTGAGAAACAGGGTAAAATAAATATGAATTTCTTAACTATAAACTACTACTCAACAGAAACAATGTTCTGTTCTCAAATAAGAGCAATAACTTACCAGCATTCACACAATACAATTTTCTTTATGAATTTATAGAGGGCATTTTCCTCTGGCTCACGCCAAGGCTCCAATTCAAAGTCATTTGGTTCACTATAGATCAGATAGACAGCTGTTTTCTTGACCACTAATCCGTCACCAAAAGCCACAAAAATCTCCACCTTGTCCCCCCCAGATCCTAAATTTGATATTATGCCCTGCCAATCTATATCAGAAATTATTGTGCCATGCTTGTGTATCTGGAATGTGAACTTTGTGTAGTTAACAATTAAGACACTTTTAAGACATTCAGTTGCTATGATGTCAGGGGTTGATGAATAAACAACACACAAAGCCATTCCCTTGACGTGACAGTCCTGAGGCAGAGTGAAAAAAACTGAATGTCCCTCACCCACATGGCCGAACCAATAAGGATGGTTGTCACCTGGAAGACAAATATCACAAGACTCACACCTTGCCATTTCCTGTTCCATGAGATAAAAACGCTTAGTCATTTTATCATTCAAATGATCACTTAAGGTCATCATTTATCATTCCAAATTTCAAAAGTAGGCATTTTTAATCAAATTAAAATGTATTCCAAAAAGCAAAACAGGTACTTCAATAAAATTACAATGTATTACACAAATCAAAATTTAACCAAATTGTTAATAGTTTATTGTGCATACATCAATAGCATTTTAGAATGCATTTCGGTTTAGGTATAACAGGTCTTTCGACTTATAGTTCTATTATATAATTATAATCAATGGGAATCTAACAAACATATATCAAGTGTAACATGATCATTTCGCTTATTAAAATCAGGTGCTTTTGAATGAAGCAATGTAGAATACGTGAAAAAATGAATGAAGGTAAACAAAGGTAAAAGCGCGAAGGAACCTCAGATATGCTATTGCTGAGAGTGTTGAAGAACTTGTCGTAACCTCCAACACCAATCAAAGAAAACCTCAAGTGATGCTCTGAAATTCTTAATTCTGTATAATTTACACCGTATTCGACACGAATTGTTTGCACTTGCGTAGATAGTTGAAACTCCGTGTCACATTGAACCAAAACACTTCGAAGATTTGCAAGGCCGGTAAAAAATGGCGAAAGGTAACGCCAATTATTATTCTCCATATCCATGCCAAACGGATGGGTATAAGATAGGGGATTGCTTATTGGTGTCTTCCAAGACCGAATGATAGAAGGAAAAATATGTAACAATCCTTCAAATCCACGTAGGGATATATATCCAATGCATTTTGAACTTATAATTGAAAGGGGCACTTGTTTCACTGCTTTATTTTCAGTAATTAGTGTTATCAAGGATTTCATCTGCACTATATCTTCTTCCAAAATGTCAATATTGGAACAACCTGATAGGACGAGAGTTTTTAAAGATTTCAACTTATATATCTCTCTCGGGAGACTGCTTAAACTTGTACAGTCCTTCAAATTTATGAGTAGTAGATTGCAGAGATCTCCTATGGATTGGTGTATCTTGCACAAACTTGGACAATCTTTGAGAATGAGCTCTTCAAGACTTGGAAGTCCTGAAAAGTCAGGCGTTTCTGTCAAGTTGTAGGAGTGACTAAGATTAAGGAATTTTAGCGAGCTCAAAACCTACAATAACATATATAGTTTTTTGACAAAAGATCAGAGAAGAAAATGAAAAATGCAGTAGGTATAACTGAAATCAATTATAATATCTTTATTTTGATTAACCTATGAGTTTTAAAAGAGAAGAACATGTAATACCTGGGATTGTTTCCAAACTATTCGAAGATGACTATGTTTTAAATCAAGTGCAATTACATTTTCCATGTTAAAGTTGTTTGGTATGTATTTAGAAGGAAACCATTGCCAACAAATCCATCTGAGTTGTTTAGAAAAGTACTCATAACTTCCAGAAACATGTACATGATCCAGTTGCAGCAGTCTTAATCTCTCCATTGTCTTGAAAGCATGAGCTTCGAAGCAATCTCTGATGGTTAAAGGTAGTTTCAGGGACAGTCCCTCCGTAGCTTGTGTCCCCTGTGATGAAAATAGAAAATGAAAACAATTAAGAAATCCCTCAATATCTGTTTATCATTGATACTTAAAGATGAGCCTAACAAGTTAACCACACATTACTTGAAAAAGAAAACACTTTCAAAATACGTTTCAAAATCATATAAAGAATGTTCTTACAGTATTATTTGTGAGTACATCTTCTACATCATCGCGACACCATAATCGACTCCGGTTCCCAAGTTTCACTGGAGACCTTTCACGAATAATTTCTCTTCCCATATCTCGCAATAAAGGGTGCATTTGAAGTTTGTTGTTCTTATCAACTTTTAAGAGACTACGTTCTATCAGAACTGTTATTCCAATATCAGCATGTAGACCACAGCCATTTAGTATCTCTGTAACATAGCCTCTATCTTTACCAATAAAGAAACAACATATATCAAGAAATATATCTTTTTCCGTTTGATTGGGTAAACTGTTGAAGCTTTTTTTCAATGTCTGTTGAACTTCAACATATGGGATTTTTTCGAGTTTTGATAATACACTTTTCCAATTTTCCATTGACCTCCCAAATAAAAAAGAACCAATAACTCGAAGAGCTAGTGGTAATCCTCCACAGTAAGCAACTACAATTCTTGCAAGTTCATTGAATTCTTCTCTTGGTTTTTCTTCTCCAAATGCATGCCAACTAAAATACTTAAGGGAATTATTTTCATTCATAACATCGGTTTTATAAACATAATGAACTTTGAGTTGGTTCAGTAGGCGAACATCTCTAGTTGTAATGATTATTACAGTTCCTTGACCAAACCATTCACGATTTCCACATAGGTATTCTAATTGGCCAAATTCATTCACATTATCTAGCACAATGAGCAACTTTTTTCGACAAAGTCTTTTCTTGATAATAATTTTTCTCGTCTCAACGTTTATTATCATCTCAAACTTGGATTTTATGTCTTCATTAAGAAGTCTCTCTTGTAAATCAACATCCACTCCTATTATATCTCTAAAAATATCAGAATTTTGTCCAATATTTTCAATGAAGCATTTACCAATGAATGTACGATAAATTCGATTATAGATGGCTTTTGCTAAGAGTGTTTTACCCGATCCTCCCATCCCCCATATGCCTATGATACAGACATTGGTGGATTGATTTTCAATACATCCAATCACCTTCTCCACGTGGGACTCTAATCCAACGGGATATTCAGCTATAGGCAAATATTTATAGTCCAGTAATATCTGAATACGGTCAACAATATCCTTCACAAGTTCAGCATCATGCCTTCAAGAAGAATGGTAATATCTTAAGAATAACACACGCTTAATTAAGTCTCAAATAAAAGAAAGTATGAGTGATAATTGACATACCGAAACTTTCTGGCATCCCAACCAGTGATTCCAGCAGCTCTGGTGAGTGCCAGTCTCCACCTGGACAAGGCATGTTTCAGTTCTTTTCCTGAATAAATTTTCTGTGCAGCTTTTTTCAACGCTTTTCCAAAATCACCCTTCTGGCGAGCTATATCGTGTGGGTCAATCTCGTAATATACGGGCAGAACTATTTGACCAAAAGTTTTGTAGCATTCAATGATTTTTTCAAGCTCACGAACACACCAAGTAGACTCAGTGTATGTTTTGGAGAAAACAATTATTTCAATCTTAGACCTGGCTATTGCTCTCATCTGTTGTTCCAGCTTCATTCCCTTTTGCAGATTCTCCTCGTCAACAAAAGTTTTGACTTCAGCTTTTAAAAGGGCAGAATAGAGATGAGAAACGAACATTCTACCGATTTCTTCTCCCCCATAGTTGATGAACACATCGTATATGAACTGGGGTTCTGATTTTAAGAAGGATGATGATGACGAAGAAGAAGAAGAAGAAGCGAACTCCATCAAAGGAATTGAAGGTAAACTCTGCGAAGATGAAACAATAATTGATGATCGTTAAAAAGTATTTGTAAACAAAAGTTAGAATACATAATAATGATCGGTCGTTACTTTTTATACACGACAAAACTTTTAATCAAATTGTTTGAATTAATTACCATCGCCATGTTTAAATTTATACAGTGTATTGTCAAGAAGACAATTCTTACTGGCCTAGCCGAAGTGATTGCCTTGGATTCCCTTACTTTATTAGATTATTAGGTAGATATATAGGAAAAGTTCAATAATAAGATTCTTCAAATCTGGTTAAGAGTTTATTTCCCATGGTGGTAGGGTACATCGTTGCTAAAAAAAAGTGGGACTTCCCCGCACTCCTAGTAAATGTTATTCCAAAACGAGAAATGAAGTCATTTTTATATTTGAGATTTTATGCTATTTTTTTTAGTACGGAAGTATAAAATCTTTAATATAGTAAAATTAGTTTTATAAAAAATGCATTAGTTATGCATGGGTCTTTTCTTTTTATAATTAGATAATGGGTTATTTTCGGAAAATATTTTTTTCAATAATTTTAATAATTTAGTGAAATTTTTAGTTAATCTTTTTTTTTAAATTAAAAAATTTTAAAATGATTGATAATCTTATAAAATTATATCTTGTGTATAATTGATGATCAAAATCATATTTCAAAAAAACATACATATATACTTTTTTGAAATTTTCTTCACCAACATCATATATCATATCCCATAAATTATTATTTATCTTTTCTTCAAAATTTTCTGTTATTGATATAATTAGGATGTTTAATATTTTTTTATATCATATTCATATTATATAATTTTTAACAATAATATAAATAAATAAGTGATTGTTATATTTCCAAGTTTGATTCAAATAATGAATGTATGAACAATAATATATTTCTTTGATAGATTTTTCATTTTTACAAATAAATTTGAAATTTTTTTAACTCTCATTTTATACTCTTTACTAATATGACGTGCATTTATCCAACTTTAATATATGTCTGCCTATATCATAAAATTTGTTACTCCTAAAAATTCAAAATTCATATTTTAAAAACAAAAAATACAAACAAGAAAAAACCTGATTGAATTTTAAATATAATATATAAATTACAAATACATTCACATAAATAAATAAATAATCACAAACTTCAACCATTCAATATCAATAACAATCCAATAAAAATATTTAGATATTTACATGGTTGAAATCCTAAAAAAATTACAAATTAAATTTAAATATTAAAAAAAGATATAAAACCCTAAACTCGAATATAAAATAAATACTCTAAAAACTCCAATTCAATTAAATAAAAAACTTAAACCATCACAAATAAGACAAATTAAAATTAAAATATTAATAATAAGTGAGGGATAGGTAAACTTGCATGAGCGTGGCAAGTGCTGGGTTGTGACAGCAGTTGGATAAGTAAGTAGTAATAGGAAGGAAGGTGGGGCCGTTTGAGAGGATAGGGGTTGCCGTTTAGTGAACTGAAGGTCGTGACACTGTTTGGATTTAAGTTTTATAATTAATTATTAATATTCAGACAAAAAAAAACCTAGATTATATATATATATATATATATATATATATATTTATATTCATATATAATCTTATAATTATTTTTTCAATAACATTAAAGTATGTATACGGAACCTGTAATTAATATATTTTTAATTATTGATAATATTTTTTTCATAAAATATTTTCTAAGAGAAAAATGCAGAAGAGAGAAACTCAATAAGAAGGTAGAGGGAAATCTCTTATATTATTATTGATTGGACATAAAGTTAAAAGAAATAGTATTATAAAATAACAAGTACCTAATTTATTTATTTTTAGAAAATTGATTAATTTAGTTGAGTTTTAATTTAAAAAATATAAATTCATCAATTTTTCAATCTGTACAGGAAAGAGAAAAGACAGCTTAAAATATTTGAAAAGTGTTACAATATTAAGAATCATTCATACAAAAGTGATTTGTTACTATTTAAGAATCTTCTAGCTCATTATTATGTATCGGTCGCACACTGTTTGTGAATTTCCTTTTTTTATTACGTATATCAATTATATAAAATTCAACTTTTAACTTCATCTTTTTAATTTTTTAATAAGATGATATTAGAATTTATTTATACAAATAAATAAATTATTAAGATAAATTTTTATTTTTTAAAATATTGTTTATTTTAAAATTTTAATTTATATGATTTTATTTTTAGAAGATATTTTAGTAGATTAAAAAAAATTATATAAATTATTCTTAATCTTAATTATTAAATAATATATGATTTATGAATTAAAATGGTTCATTGTTCCATTAATAGGATGAATCATTTTAATCATTACGTGAATTCTTTTAATTTTGACTAGCAAGTATAAATATTTTTCAATTTTAGAGAATCCCCTTGATTTAGTTGATTATTACTGATTATTCAATGATTAATATAATTTTAATTTTAATTAGTGACCTTTCATTAATAATCTAAATTTTCAATATAAGTTTCAACATTCAAGCTAAAATACAAGAAAGATAAATGTGCAAGGAAACTAAATCATAAGAAAATAAATAAGTGATAAAATTAAATTATAAGAAAATAAATCTAACTCATTATCAAAGATAGAACATAAATCTATCAACGAAGATGACAATCGAAATTATAAATAATTCCATTAAAAATATTTATCTCATATTCGTAACGTTTTTTAGAATGCAAGTTTTAATACAATTTGACTATCACCCCTCTTACACTTATTTTTACCTTATTTATATTTTGTCTTGTGTAACCGCTAATAAAAATAAAATACAAAACAAAATAAAATAACAAAATAAAACATTTATTTTTCCTATAATTGTTCCCCTATTTTCTTGAGCTACTCATTTGCCACATATTATTCATAATGTTCGGGTCATGTAGTAAAACCATAACTCGTCTCTCGCATATTTGTCGATTACATAATCTCAATCTCTTCTCCCGATCTTTTATCCTTTTTTGTTTGCATAACCATTTATCGATGTCTTGTTTTCCTCGATCATGAGACACTTACAATTAGGAGTTTCCCAGTATCTCAAAATCTTCAATTTTTCTAAGTCTTTGCATCTTGATAAATCTTTCTCGACATCTCTTTAGTTCCTTTCTTAATTTTCCTTAGTCGTTGACCAATAACTGATAACAACATTTTCCTTCACCAATGTATTTATTAATTTTTCATTAAACTGCGATTCTTTTTATTTTTATTTTATTACGTTATCTTCTCCTTTTTTCAGTTTTCTTGTGAGCTTTTGATCCTTTATTTCTTCAATACTCTCTTAACCACCCACATTAATCTTGATTGTACATTCAATTTATACATTGATATATTATTCTCTTAAGTTATACACTTTCAACTAATCCTTCAATTGTTTCTATTCTCAATTTTCAAATACCATTAATTCTCACTACATCTCAATTTTCTACCCTTTGACCTTGATTTTCTTCTTTCATCGTCATCTTTCATTTATAACCTCAATATTTTCTTTCATTCCTTTCTTTTGATATATTTATAAATTTTTTAATAGTAAAATATCCCATAAGAGAATGCAACATGAATGTCGATAAATTGACATTTCTCTTATTTTCAGTTTTAATGATACTTATCTAAATATTAATATTTCATTTTCCTTACCTGTCTCATTATTTCATTATTTATTCCCCTCATAAATGCTAAATTCTTGTAATAAATGTTACCTTCTCTATCATAATTTATTTAATCATCACTTGGCTTAACATTGTGTCAGGAATAAATATGGGTCGAGACTAAAGCCTATCTAATATTTTAGGTTTCTCGAGAATTTATATTCTTTAAACTTTAAATCGTTCCACCTTCTTTATCACTTTACATTCATCTCCCAAAACCTTACAACCTCCAAGATTTCTTCCTTATACGTTATACTAAATTATTACTTCTCATCAATCTTCTCGTCTTATTTCAGCTACTATGACATCATCTTCTACTACTTCCCAAATTTCTAGTCTCAACCCTGTTTATGCACAATTCGTCGAAATCAATTGCAAAACCTTTGCCCCAATACTTGACCTAGAAGAAGAATCCCAAAAAATATGTTCAACTCAAGTAATTATTCCCTACTCTGTGGGAGGCATCTCCTATGCCTTTGAGAGACCTCTAATTCCTAATCCCGATGAGCCCGCAAATTTTCCTTCAACTGAAGAAGGAATGTCCATCTTGCAACATGGAGATGGCAAATTTTAGAATAGATTTTCTCTCCTAACCCTCCAAGGTTTGTTGTTTTGGACCAACCTAGAAAAAACCTTCATACCTTACATGGCTCAATAGTGTAGAAGCCAAATTTGGAGTACATTGGAAGACCATAGGAATCTTTGATTTAATCTACCTATCTCAATATGACATTATACATTTTGACATGTTAATGTTCCTTCTACTAGTCCAACTTTGAAATAAGGACCCCAATGTAATGGAGCTTCCTTGTGACCTAGTTATCCCCACTCTCCTTGACGTCGCCACCATTACATGTCTCAAACCTATTAGAGATAAATATTTCATAACAGCCTTTCCCATCGATAAAGAGCTCAAATTCAAAATCTGATGGAACAAGAAATCTGACGACCAATATTTATTTGCTTGGCTAAGTTGTTATTAGCCCATGTTTATGTTGCTTTCGCTGAAGTCGTGGATGCACTGCAATTGAATTGTCCCAACGACAATCTATTTGGACCCTTATGGTTCATTAAACTCTGGCTAGTATCTATTTTTGAATCTTTATT